ATTCATCTTTGGTGTCTTCAAGTTATTCTCTCACACAAAGAACTTAAATATAGATGTAATTTATAAACAGCTTTCTCAGGAACAGATCTATTGTATCCACTACAGTGCATCCATCTATTTTCAGAGGCCATGAACCAAAAAATTTTTCCATCAGTTTTCATCTACAACTCTTCCTCAAAGTTATTCTGAAAATTTCTAAGCTATCATTGAAGAGTGCCCCACAGTGTGCAGAATAAATGCCATTCCCCTTCCTCTCACAATCTGCCCCCATCACACAATCCAAGTATGTCCATGTATGTCCTTCTAAGTCAATTCACACGTGCACCTACTGTGGCTGACCCAGGCTCATCGCATCCCTTATCCTCCTGCATTGCCCAGTGACCCTGAACACCCTGGTGCGGAGACACACTCTTTTTGACCTCATTCACTGCTCCCTTTCTATCTCTTTGCTTCTTCCTTACCCTTATTCCATCCATTCCACCTTTGCCTCCTTTCCCTTCTTGGTATTTTTACTTCGAAAATTTCTGCCACTCATGAAACAAGAAAAGTCCTTTAGAAATATGATCTAGTATTTGAGTACTTTTTAATTTGGCAAGAAGAAAAAATTGGAAGTCCATGGGTCAAAGAGGCAACTGAGGTGATAATCTATAACTAAGTTTCCCAAACAACTCAGAAATTTCCCAACGTCATGGGAATGACACAGTTCAGATCAGGGTCAGCAGGCCTGGGTTCTAATCTACCTTTATCAATAACTGTGATTCTGGCCAAATGATAACTTCTGGAAACTTCATGTTCCACACAAATGTTTGCTCACCTTTAAATTTTAAATGTTCAGAACAGTACTCTTCTGTTCCTTCACAATGTGAAGATAAAATGTGAAGTAGAGGTATTTTGGATACTAAAAAGTAATATTCAACAATATTTGCTCTTGTTTTAGAGACAAGAAAGTAATAAAAAATTAAAATTGATATTAGAAACATAACAATGAGTGTGCTACAAAGAACTAGAGAAAAAAGTGAAGTGCTATGAAATAAAAAAGGGGTGGGGCAAATGGAAAAGAGGTCTCACATGCCACCCAATACGTATGGGGGGTGAAGCACCTTTTATATGACGAACTAGAAGCCTGGTGCATGAAATCGTGTACGGGTGCGGTCCCTACGCCTGGCCAGCGAGGAAGCATGAGCGTCTGGCGTGGAAGGGCAGGTCCCAGCTGACCTCTGGGCCCTGGGCAGCACCTGGGCCCCCATGAGTCCCCTTCCGCCTGAGTCACAGTGCCCAAGTCCCCACACGGAGATGCAGTGAGTGTGGCCAGACGCCACGGGATGGGGCACAGCGTGGACCTCTGAGCAACACAGTGGCGCTGCACGGAAGCCAGGAAGGCAGTGTGCTCTCTCCTGGCCAGCCTCACAGAGCGGCTCCTATGTGAACCCCGGGGAGCCTGACCGGCTCCTACAGTCCTGGCTCACTTGGAAGAGGCCACCACATGGGTGCGGGGCGGACTCCTCGCAGGCGCCCTGCACCTGAGCATGGGGGTTTCCCCAGAATGCAAGGAAGGCAGCAGGGGGAGTGAGAGGGAGCTTGGCCACCCCGTATTCTCACTGCACCTCCACCCCATCACCCCTGCCCCTAGGTAGCCGGCAAGAGACTGCAGGGTATTGCCGATGCCCGCCATGTTCCGTGCTGCCCCCTGGTGGTCAGTGCATATCATAGCAAGCGGTCGAACTCCTGGTCTCCTGCCTGAGGGCACAATTTGTATATTAGGCTTTTATTATATATGATGAAATAAAATGGCAACATCATAAAACTGGAGTTAGGAAGAACCTTAGGATTCACCTAATAAAACCCACATGTAAAATGTTAATTCTCTCTAAATACCTGCCATTGTCCTGCCTCTGCTAAACCAATTCCAGATCATGGCATTCCTCCCTTGGCAACCATTTCATAATCTACATAACTAACTGATACAGCCTATAAATATGCAGTCAAAATGGTTCAATGGAAACAAAAGAAACAAATAAAAACACCACATCTAAGTTAACCTACATTTACTAAGGATATAGAGACCAAAAATTGCTTTGGGATCAGAGTTTTTGATTTTTTAATGAAAATTAAAAAAGGTCTAAAAAAACATGGACTTTTGGTTCAAACAATTTCAACACGTTTATTTAAAGCCCCCGTCCCCTTCCAATCCCCCCTGAGATGACCAAGGAAACAAAAAGTAGGGAAACAACTAGTGCTAGAAAATGGGGATGGATACCACCCAAGCATAAAAACTAAACCATTTCTCTAATAAAGTAGAGGCAAGACCAGACTGAGGGACAAGCTGGCCACCCAGGAGCTGTGGAAAAGCCCAGTTTGAGAGAAAGCAGAAGAGGGTACAACCTCAGTTCTATGGTATTCCTTCAGAAAACAAATCAGGTGTCAGAGCCCACAGATTGCAAGCTCCTTGGTGTGAGTTACCCTCAACTCAGACCTCATGCTAAGTGAGGGACCACTGCAGTTAGCTCCTAATCAAGGGAATTGCCCCAGTCAGAGATGGGGGGACGTTGCCCAGTACCTTCTGGACTACTCAAATACATAAAAGAAACTTGGTCAGCTTCTCAAAAACAGAGAACTCTACTACAGCCATTGCCTTTGGCTATCTCTGGCTGTCATCCACTAACCATTGGAATGGAATATGGCAAAGCAAGACTGAAAGAAAGCTAACACTTTCTCTGCTTCCTGCATTTAGGCTTGAAAGGCCTGTTCATAGGCTCACAGCATCTTTGACAATCAACTTACTCATTCAAAACAGACCTCTTTATAAAGATAATCAGAGAAAAACCATTGGACTGTTTGTGAAATAAGAACTATGAAAGTCCTCCTATGAAAGTGGATTACTACAAAAAGAGAAAACAAAATATTTCTAGTGTGCATTTTCATCAAAATTCAAAAAGACACCGAAAAGGAAAAAACTGGAGGTCAGATAAAATTTACTCTCTATATATTTGTTATGAAGAGGCAATGAGAAACACGTCAAGCATCCAATTCAGTGATAACACAAAGGAGGCATTTATAGGAGGCCTATTTTATCATCTGCATTTGGCCTTGTAAAGCAGAAGATAACCTGAAAGTCCAAGTTTCCTGACTCATAATCCAGGATCCTTTCCATTTGTAGTAGGTATTTTAGTAACCTCCCCAGCATCTGTTACTTCCTTTCTCCTTCCAACAGGCCCACTTTTGTTTGGTGATCCATGTGTAGACTTTGTTTGGTGTGCTTTGTGGAAAGCTGACTCAACCCAACTGGACTCCTGGCTCTAAGCCGGGCAGTTCAGCACATTCCATTCCCCTGGCTTGAGTGACAGGTGTAGGGACAGGCACATGACCAAAGTTAATTAACTATAAAATCTTAGGACTTTTGCTGGGACAAAGATGGATGCAACAACAGCTAGTTGATATCTTGTGCATATGCAGAAAGTCAGTCTTAGGGGAAAGTCAACGATAAGAAAAGAAGAGCAAAGATGAAAACGAACCAACTCCTTGAAAACAGGGCTGTCCCTGCCTCCTCTCTTGAAGCCCAATCTGCTTCAAGGCTTCTCAGTCAGAAGAACCAACATGCTGCCTTTGTTATGTCAATCTGAGCTGAGGTTTCTGGTCAATGTAACTGATAGCACACGACTACCATGTGCCCTTACTTCTCCAACCCCAAAACTGACAAAGTAAAAAATAAGACCTGCCGAACCGGTTTGGCTCAGTGGATAGAGCGTCAGCTTGCGGACTCAAGGGTCCCATGTTCGATTCTGGTCAAGGGCATGTACCTTGGTTGCGGGCACATCCCCAGTGGGGGGCGTGCAGGAGGCAGCTGATAGATCTCTCATCGATATATCTAACTCTCTATCCCTCTCCCCTCTTCTCTGCAAAAAATCAATAAAATATATTAAAAAAAGACCTGAATTATAACTTTACATTCATCCTGTTAACTTAAAAATATTATCACAAACAAGTTTGTTGTGTAATTGCATACAGCAAAACCATGTAAAACAGAGAGCACAGAGTCCTTAGTTCACGGCCCTCCAAATCTTGATTGGCTTCTTTGCTTTAAATGGCAAACTGAGAAAGAAGGTGTGCAGTGCTGCTGCCATCAGAAGACTGAGCCGACTTGGTCCCTTCTGCCCGACACTGCTTAGTTGACTACTTCTACCTGTAGTTGTGGATGACAGACACTGTTTCCTATTCCTCACATCTAACTTTGGAAGTGAGAAACCTTATTCAATATTGATATACTCAGAAAAAAAATCACATGGTTGAGTCAATCAACATTTCAAAAGCGTCATGTTGACAAAAATCGTAAACAATTAATATTTGTCATACTTGCTTTATCTCATTAATATACACACATATATATCAAGAAATATGTGTATATTTATTTTTTTGGCTATACTGTTTTAACAGAAATCTAACACCTAAATACTTTAGCATGCATCTACTTGGAATAAAGACATTCTTCTATAGAAGTACAATACCATTATCACATTAGATATATCTACTATCTAATATTTAATTGCAGGTTATATTCAAATTATTCCACTTGTCCCAAATGTTTTGAATAGCTGATTTTTGAACCACAATGTACCATATTTGCTTTATATATGTCCTTAATATGTGTCAACTTGGGGGGGAAATGAGGCTCCATACATTTACTTTTTCCAAAAGTATTTTTACTGATTTTGAGAGGAAGGGAAAGGGAGACGGAGAGAGAAACATCGATGTTAGAGTAAAACATCGACCGGCCATCCCCCGTGTGCCTCCCACCAGGGATAGATTGAGCTGAAACTGGTGCATGTGCCCTGACTAGGAGTCTAAACCAGTTACCTTTTGGTGTATGGGACAACATCCAACCAACTGAGCAACCCTGGCCAGGGCCCAAAATATTTAACACAATTCTTCTGGTCAAGTATGATAGTTCCCTCCACGTTTGTTTCCATGAACTCCTGGAGAACATACCCAAGGGAAAAACCTACCTGGGGGGCTGAGAAGCTGAAGAACTTCAGTGTGTGCCATAGTCTGCAGGAAGTCACTCAGCTCTGTGACTGTACAACCTTTTTCACCCAATAGCTTCAGTAAACATAGGCTTGGGCTTCCTTCAGGCTCCAAGACCTTAAGAGAACATTGCTCCAAGTCCAGACAACTGGAAATAATGAAATTAATTCAAGTTAACAATTTTCTTCAATATTAGAGGCCCGGTGCACAAATATGTGCAGGGGTGGGGTCCCTCAGCCTGGCCGGCAATTGGGGGTGATCGGGGTCATCTCGCCCAGTCCTGATCAGGGCCAACTGGGGCTGGCCGGCTGTGGGGAGGGACCGTGGGACGTTGGCTGTGGGAGTGCACTGATCACCAGGGGGCAGCTCCTGCATTGAGCATCTGTCCCCTCGGTTGTCAGTGCGCATCATAGTGACCAGTTGACTGGTCCTTCGGTCACTTAGGCTTTTCTATCTAGATAGATAGATAGATAGATAGATAGATTAGATAATATGCCTGCTCTATGTTTGGCCCCAGAGCTGTTGTAGAAAATAAATCACGGGGTGTTGAGTGGTGAAAAACTATTTATATTATGAATGCTACTGTTCTTTCTTCATTCTTCTGCAATCACCAGGGATTCCTCTTTATTCCCATGTCCAACTCAGCTTCTATGGCTACTAAATTAGGAGAATGAGAGAAATCTAGAAACTTGATGTGTGAGAAATCTGGCCTTGATTTTGATCAAAATTTTTACTTGTAACTTGGGAATAGGAAGATCGGATACATTTTTCTACTCTTTCTTGTACTTATATAAAATATAATGAAAAATTAACATGAGTATTTATGTGTGTACTCACATGAAAAAAAGATACAGAACAGTGTTATGTCCTGTATGATACTATTTTAATTAGCAAGAGTATGTGTTTGTTCTTATATATACAGAGTTAACTTTGAGGAAAAATTTCCAAGAAACCGGTAGCAGTGCTGACCTAGAGAAGTGACCAAGGGAGCAGAGCTCATGGCTGGAGGATTCACTTCTCACTATAAAGCTTTTTGTACTACTGAACTTTACTATGTGCACTCATTTTTTTCAACAATTAAAAGAACAGACAATTGAGAGAAACCAAGATGGCGGCATAGGTAAACACCTGCCTCACACAACCACTTCAAAACTACAACTAAAAGACAAAATGGACATCATCCAGAACCACAGGAAGGCTGGCTGAGTGGAAATTCTACAACTAGAAGGAAAGAGAAAAGCACACTGAGACTCAGAGGAGGTGCGGAAGTAAAGTGCAGAGGTACAGAGGCGCACGCGGAAAGGGCTGGCAACTGAGGATGCGGTTGTCTTTTTCAATCAGGAGGGAGACACAAGCTCCCGACTGCTCTGAACTCCAGTTCTGGGCGAGTCTCTGGGGATCCAGACTCATAGGGGGAGAAAATGGACTGTCTGGCATCGGGCAAAACTCGAAGGCAGCTTTCTCTCAGAGGTTCTTGTAGTGATTACCGGGACAGTGAGAAGCAGGGGC